TGGATGCAGTATTCTAAGTGTGGTATAAAGGAAGTGTGTAAGTCTAGCTGACTCATGCCTGGTTAATACAGTTAGTCCTTGACCTATGACCACAGTTGAGCTCAAAATTTCTGTTGTTAAGTGAGACATTTGCTAAGTGAGTTTTGCCCCATTTTACGATCTTCCTTGCCACGGTTGTTAAGTGAATCATTGCAGTTGATAATTATTATCCCAGTTGTTAAGTGAATTGAACTTCCCCATTGATTTTACTTGTCAAAGGTCGCAAAAAGTGATCATATGAGCCCAGGAAACAGAAACGGTCATAAATATTGTTGCCAAGCGTCCAAATTTTGATCAGGGAGATACTACAAAGGTCATAACTATGAAAGTCAGTTATAAGTCACATCTTTCAGTGCCGTTGTAACTTTGAACAGTCACTAAATGACCTGTTATAAGTCGAGGACTTATAACAGTTGGATAGGAATTTCAGAACTGCTGGTTGGATTAAGGCAATGTTTTTCAAACTTGGCAACTTCAAGATGCTTGGACTTCAACTTCAAGAATTCCTCAGCCAACATGGCCTGCTGGGAAATTCTGAAAGTTGAAGTTCATTTAAGTGAGATGATTACTTTTCATAATTACAACTACAGCATTCTCACAGGCACTTGATCAAAACTCGGACCCTTGGCAACTGATTCATATTTATGACCGTTCCTGTGCCCCGGGCTCATATGATCGCCTTTTGCAACCTTCCAACAAGCCAAGTCAATGAGGAAACCAGATTCACTTAAACAAGTGATACTAATTTAACAACTGAAGGGATTCACTTACCGGCTGTGGAAGGAAAGGTCGTAAAATGAGTCAAAACTCACTTAACCACTGTCTCACTTAGCAACATAAATTTGGGGGTCAGTCGTGGTCAGAAGTCGAGAACTACCTGTTACCTATCAGGCAAGAAATCTAGACTTACACACTTCCTTTATACCACACTTAGAATACTGCATCCAGTTTTGGCCATACTTGGAATACTGCATCCAGTTTTGGTCGCCATGATGTAAAAAAGATGTGGAGACCAGAATGTAAGAAAAAATGCAGAGAAGAACAACAAAGATGATTAGGGGACTTGAGGCTAAAACATATGAAGAACGGTTGCAGGAACTGGGTATGTCTACTTTAATGAAAAGAAGGACTAGGGGAGACATGATAGCAGTGTTCCAATATCTCAGGGGTTGCCACAAAGAAGAGGGAGTCAAGCTATTCTCCAAAGCACCTGTCAGGACAAGAAGCAATGGGTGGAAACTAATCAAGGAGAGAAGCAACTTAGAACTGAGGAGAAATTTCCTAACAGTGAAGACAATGAATCAGTGGAACAACTTGCCTCCAAAAGTTGTAAATGCTCCAACACTAGAAGTTTTTAATAACCATTTGTCTGAAGTGGTGTAGGGTTTCCTGCCTAAGCAGGGGGTTAGACTAGAACAGTGGTCCCCAACCTTTTTATCGCCATGGACCAGTCAGCCTTTGATAATTTTACCGTGGCCCGCTGAGCGCGC